TTGGTATAGAGCAATTAGATGACCGTGCCCAAGTCATGGTAGAATCCCTTTACTTTATGTTCATCAGGTGGAGACAAGGCATTTTCCAGTAGAGTTTCTTCCTCTACTCTGCAAATTATCTAAGCAAGGTCACATAAATTGCCTTCAGGAAGTACAAGTTTCTCTCCATGTACAAAAATGCCCAGAGTGATGAGCTGCTGTTATGTGTCCATGTTTAGATATTAAAAAAACAGTGATAAGAAGCCCATCCCTAAGTGATTGCTCAGCTTTGTCATCTTCCCAGTCTTGTTTTTTCCCTTTCCTTCAGGAAATCAAAGCATTTCAGAAATGAACGCTTTTGATTTTAGGGGCATAAAATATATTTATTAAACAGACTCCAAAGATGTGAAAGAATGAGTGTGGTTCTACTACAAAATAGAGCAGTAACAAAACCACTGTCACATTTTTGCCAAATTTCAGCCAGTGTACTGTCATGCTGTTTGCTATTCAGCAGTTTGGTTAAGCAGATCTGGGTTTAGTATCTTAGCTTATGTGTTGTGCTCAGGAAGGCATATTGCATTCAATAAGAAAGATAATTTGTTTAAAAACTGAAATAGTGGGTTGAATGTGCCAATAGATTAATCACTTTTCACATCAGATCTATCCCTCTGAAATAAAAATACTTCCTATAGTATGTTAGCACCCTGTAGCAGCAGAGCTGATGAATTAAATGTGTGTGCTTACCTCAATACATGTACATTTTAAGAATTTTGTGAAATTAGCAGGTACATGAAAAAAGTGATAAATAAAGAAGGAAGCCACTTCCTTGCTTTCACTGGTTTGAATCACAGACAGCAGTCTTTTTTTTTTTTAATTATTATTTTTTTCAGAGGGGCTCTTCCCTTCTTTTTTGAACACTCATTTGAAACCTATGCAGTGTGCCAATATAAAAAAAAAAAAAATATGGAACATTTACACAATAAGCCAGGCACCCATCCTGTCATTTTCCGCATCCTCATTGTAATTATTTGAAATCCTTATGCTTGAAGACAAGTTTTTTTCTCCCTCCCAACCCAAATTCTATTTTAGGAGTAGACTTGTAATTGTGTGTTTGTTAATATAGCTGTCTGTTGCCATGAACAAAGTGAGGTCACCAATTTTCTATTACAGCTTTGCCACAGAGTTAAGGGCTGTGAAGCAGCTAGCACTTACTTAAATGCACTATTTTTTGCTTTATATTGTTTTATTTTGCTCTGCTATCAATCCAAATGATATCTAGGGTAAACAACTGACATGAACTAACTCACAGTTTGATAGTCTGGAGTTATTCGTAGTGTTACAGTTTGTATGTGATTTTTTTGTATCTAATATTCAGTGTTCAGATGTTCTCCATTTAAGACTTGGCAAGAATTTTCTTGGAAGTAAATTGAGAATTGATGTGTATGAAGCATTTTTAAGATATCTTATTTATTTATTTCAGTGTTACTGCTAAGAAAAGTTTATCTGATTACAAATTATGTTATATTCTAGCATCCTGTGCTCAAAATACTTCTATTTTGGATTTTTATTTATGCATTTTTAAAACTTTAGTAGAGTGCATACAGATCACTGTAATTTATTTTATCAATTCACCATCAGTGCTAAGGTTTATATTGCCATTACAGTTTTTCTAGCTCTGATGCTTTTGTCTATCTGTCTTAAACACTTGAAATAGTTTTTTATAATTCATATATCCCAGAATGGATGAATGAATTGAAAACATGAGGCAGATTCCTAACAACAGCTGTCATGGCTTCCTTGAAATCAGCAAGTAATGTCAGTGTGGCTGTGACAATTCAAAGCAGTCAAAGGTTTGGCTCAGAACATTTATCTATCTTCAGTACTTTAATCCTTAATAAACACATTCTTTATCACTTGAAACTAACAGTATCAACAAGGCTGAAGATTAACACAGAATCACCAACAGGAGCATGGACACAAAATGACATTTATAATACGCGATGTGTTTTGGAAAGGCTATTTCAGGCATTCCT